GCTACCGCTGTTTGCGCTCCAACCGAGTCCAATCTAGTCTTCGTCGCGTGGTCGTTGGCATTTCGAGCCGCTGTGCTGCCATATTTTCTGCCGCAACTATTGTAATTAAATGTCTTTTGCAATTTGCCAAAAAAAAAAAACGTCCACACTCCACACACACAACCCATGCACTCAAATTCCATGCCACCATAATCTTTAGCTGCTACAAATTAGGCGCCGCAATATAATCTGCTATGGAAAAATTGAAAAATGCTTTCTTCAAGTCCAAATTACTGCCGTTGCTACAAATATATGAAAACCGTTGCGTATTACATGCAATTACGGGCCAATTAAAGCAGCCAACAGCTGGCGCTATTAATCTTGGCGCACCGCACTCTTACTCGTCGCTCTCTCGTTCATCTCCGCTCTCTACTGTTCGCTCGGCCGGCCGTTCATCTAAGCGTCGAGGTCAATAGCATCTCTCGCGCAACTTTCTAGCACCAGCCGACGGCCGTTCCAATTGCCTGCCGCACATTTTATCCCACTGCCGATTTTATTTAACTCACTTTGCTCACTTTAACTGCGTTCGGTATTAATACGGACTGCGTGTGAGTTTCTTTGCTGGCCGAGTCGGTTTTATCGATGTAATTTAAAAATTATGACAAATTGCAGAAAGATTGTGTTGGGCTGCCGTCGTCGCGTCACCTTATCGTCTCCCGTACCCGTCCAACAGGTAGCACATCCGTTGTGCCATTTAGTTTAAGTTGATGTTGGATTTGCGCGCTCACGATTCTAGAAGGAAATTGTAATTAAGTAATTAATATGTGCTTAGCGAAGGGGAGATGAGCTGCAAACCAGAAGTGGGAAGTTCATGACTTTGCTATATCCATCGGCCTAGCACTTACGCGGAGCTCAATTTTTTTGGTTCTTTATACCTCCTCTTTCAGAGCAGACAGCTAATGGTGCTGCCAAAGCCTACCTGTAAGTAAATGGAAGAGACTGAGGTTAATGAGAAAATAATAAAATGTACAAAGTGTCCAACGGCAGTGGGTTCAAAATAGTAAACGGCCGGTTCAACTAAGTTTGGTTGGAAACTATAAATATGCAGCTGAACTCGATAGAGTACGATGATTTCTCAACCCTCGGCCACTTCTTTCCTCTCTCATTTATACTGATTTCCATTCCAAAAGGCTTGTAATTCGGTCGGGTGGGCGGATTATAAGACAGAACTTCTGCTTTCTGACTTTATTTAGTTAAGCGAGACTTTTGGCCTCTAATTAAGTTAAACGCCTGTGTGAAGCAACCCTTTCGACGTTCTTAAGAACCTATAGGAGTTACATTCCTTGGCTCGACAAAAAGGTTAGTGCGAGCTCACCTGAACAGTTTCTTAATCCAAGATGTACTCGCTTAGAATCCATCTATTCGCCTCGTAAAATCGGTGCTAATATTTAAATTACGAGCTACGAGCTGTCCTTTGTTCAGAGACGCTATCCCAGCAGAGTTCTCGTTTTAACAAAATGCAAATATAAAAATAGGCTGAGCGTGGAGTTCAGGGATCTCAGCCCGGACCAAATGATAAGTTTCGTAATTCACCAAAGAGGCTGACCCAACACAACCAGAGAAATAAAGGTTTGGGATGACTCAGATTGAGAGCGCAGAATGTGAGATTTTGATGAAAGGCTGAATTAGAGCATTTCTGCCCACCAGATTTTCATATAAACTTCGAGCTCTATAAGGTCCCACTTAGAGTACGCGGGCTTTCATCTGACTTACCGTTTAGAGAGGAAGCGTTTTATTATCAGTTCCGACCTTTCACCGGATAAGCCCTGTAAATAATTCAGGGACCATCCAGCTCTAAATCTCGGTCTCTGCAACCATCACACTTCAAACTTCTTAACCTCCGAACCTACAGAAATCTTTTAAAGTGTCAATGAAGAGTATTTATACGCTATACTCTTCATTGACACTTTAAAAGATTTCTTCAAATCCATAAAAACGATTAGACGCATCTAAGAGCTCTTTAGACACTTATGTAAAGCGATTTAGCGCCACACGTGCCTCGCATGTACAAAGCAAAAAATTACCATTAAATTTTTCAAGTTCAAAAGCACAAACACATACAGACATGTTTTCCCAAAAGTGTTGTGCCACCTTGTATAAATATTTATGGTACAAAAACAATAAACAACAGCTGCGCACAATTACGCACTTGAGCAACGAGCACGCAGAGCACACAGCGCCCGAGCGCAGGCAGTCGAGGTGAAGCCTAGAGGAAAAAAATAAACAAAAGCACAGAAAAGTATAAAAAAATGTCTTGCAACAGCCAGAGCTCAAAGTCAAAGCCGTCATAAAGCGCACTTGGGCAGAGCGACGCGCCTAAGTCAAGGTTAGACTCGGTTCAATTACCTCTTCTGCGTACAGAAGTTAACGGTTGATGGTTGACGGCTATTGGCTGCTGGCGAAGTGCGCTGATGATGATGACGCCGATGGCATATGCTGAAGGTTGTTGGACAAACCGGCGCGCCTCATACGCTCGATTGTCTGCCGCAGCCACAGCCACTGCTCGCTAGCCATGCGTAGACGCTACTCATGTGTGTGTCTTTACTTTATTAATTACCCGAAAAGCTTTTCGGAGAAAAAAGCGAGCGTTCATTGCACAGCGCTAGCCAAGTTTGGTGCGCCGGCGCCTAGGTTTCGGGCCGAAAATGTAGAAAAAATGCGACGCAGTCAATTTCGGCGCGACCAGCTTTGGCTTAGTCGCTCAAAGTACATGAAAATATTTTTTTCAAACGACGATTTGATGGCAGTTGGCAGGTGCGTCGGAAAGAATGTAAAAGTGCGCGACGTGCGTTAACGCAAATATGCAAATTTTTGGCGTTGCTAAGCAGAGACGGCGGTAGCGTTGGCAGAATTTCCGCAGCTGGCATAAATTTGTCATAAATTTAAATAAAAAAATAATATTTAGAAGAAGCGACACTAAAAGTAAAATTTATTGAAAAAAAAAATAAAATTTGGTTAAAGTAAATTAAAACAAAAAATTAAAAAAGGAATAATAAGAAAAAAATGGAATAAGAAAAAAATAAAAACAAAGTAAAAATTTCAAAAAACTTAGAAACGAAATATAAATTGGATAGAAACAAAAAAATTAAACAATGTAAAGGAAAATAAAATAAAAATATCGTTAAATAAAATATGAAATTAAAAAATGAAATATATTAAAAAAAAAGAAATAAAATAAAACAAAATTGAGGTAAAATATAAATATACTTAAAAAATTAAAATAAACAAATAATTCATATTAAAAACGAAAGAAAGAAAAAATTTGAATTAAATCAAACAGGTTACAGTAAAACAAAACAAAAAAATTAAATAAAATAAAATAAAATATATTAAAAAATAAAATAAAAAATATTAAAAAAATAAAATTAAAAAAAAATAAAATTAAATTACAATAAAAATTCGAATTAAATAATATAAGACAGAATGAAAGAAATTAGAGCCTCTCTAGTAAAATTAAGAATGGAAGTAAAATGAATTTTAAAAAATAATGAATATTAAAATGAAAGTGTATAAAAAGTTAAATCATAATAAAATAAAATTAATTAATTAGATAAATTAAACTAAAATAAAATATTATTTTATTTATTTTATAAATATTTTTTTAACGAACTGAAATGAAATCAAACCAAATCAAAACAAATTAAATTATAATCAATAAATAAAATCATCATGTAATAAAATAAATGAAATTAATAAATAATATAAATTAAAATAATATAATAAAGCATAACAAAATAAAATAAAAAAAATAAAATAAAATAAAATAAAATAAAAAAATAAAATAAAAAAATAAAATAAAAAAATAAAATAAAATAAAATAAAATAAAATAAAATAAAATAAAATAAAATAAAATAAAATAAAAAAAATATAAAATAAAATAAAATAAAAAAAGAAAGAAAATAAAATAAAATATATCTTTTAAATATGTTAATTATGTTAATAAAAAAGAAAATGAAATTAAATTAATAAATAAGTAATAAATTTTCCTCTTTAGTTTTAATTCGATTATAAAAGCACCTAAGTATCTAAGTACTTAAGTGCCTAAGCACGTAAAAGTTTAGAGCCAAATAACCTTGCCAATTGACATTTCGTCATGTCCACTCACATCGGCCAACTTTAAGCGCCGTCACTTCAACGCTTTGCGTCCAACGAAGTAAAATGACGAGAAAAAAAGTAGAAAATTTCATAAATCACAAAAAGCAACTTTCGGCCTAGCTAATCGGGCTAAGCAGCCGTCGCTAATGCGCATAAATGAAAGTGGTTTACTGTGGCAATTGTTGTCGACATTTGTTGCAGCTGTGTGCGTGTGTTGATGTAAGCGGCCAATGCGAAATGTGTAACTAGTTTTATTTTAATTTCTTCAATTTATTTTCTTTGCTAAGCAGCTGCTTTTACTCTCCATATCTTTTTTTCTTAATTTCTGCATGAATTTTTTTCATTACTTTTTCTCTAATTTTGGCAGCTGTCATGCAATGCGTGGCAACTTTCGCTGTCGTTGTTTTTTGCGTTAGCTTGTTTGGACTGCTTTTGTTTTAACGAATTTTACAATTTTTTTTATTTTATTTTTATTTTTATTTTTTATATTATTAATTTTTTTTCTTTTTTTTGTAATATTTTAGCTTACTTTTCATGTTAATTTTCTTCGCTCTTTATCTTGTTTTTGTTTTTTCTACTCTTAATCTCTTATTATCTGTCACGAAAAGTATTTGTTTTGTTTGTGGAAAGTTCAAAAACATTTTATTACGGTTTAATGTACTCAACTAGGCGTTTTTTCTACTTTGGAACTTGTTTATGCTTTTTATCGCTGACAAGATAAAAAATAATTTCAACTTGTATGGATTACAAATACAACTATTATTTAAACATTTCAATTAGTTTAGTTTTATCTTTGTACATTTCTAAGCAACATTTGCGTTATTTACTCTGAGTTACTCCTAAATTTGTCTATTTTTTATTACAGATTCTGTGGCGCGACATAAAAATGCTGAGTTGTTGAAGGGTAAGTGGAATTTTTGGAGAATTATTCTTGACATCATAAAATTATTTACTTAAAAATTTAAGATCAACGCATTTCAAAGGTTTAAATCTCATCTTTATTGTCTAAATAGTGCTGTCTCAAGGTCTACTGCTGTCTCTTGACCTACTCTGATCTCATTCGGGTTTTTAGTTAATTTTATTGTAATCTTTCTAAGAATTTTTCAACTTTTGTTCTTATCTTAAAGAGCTCCACTCATAGCGAGACGAATTCGTAATAATCATGCTACATTTCTCAAGGCCAAGCAAGCTGCCCAGTGAGCCATAATCTTACGGTAGATTCCTCTGCAATATCTCTGACATACCTCTGCCTTTGTTCCTTTGATAATTCAATTCTAAGTGACTTATAAAGCATAGACTTCGGTTTTCATGCTTGCCGAGTCCCCTTGAGAGCTTCACGTTAGACTTCAAGAGCTCAGGTATCCAGCTAAACTATGAATATCGGTCGGAGGAGCAGTGTATTCGCAAAAAAAAAATGGATATACCGAAGGCATTCACTCTTCTAACCCGACCCCTGCGGGTTAGGGGCTCAAGAATTTACCCGTGGTAAGGCATGCCTGTCGTAAGAGATGACTAAAATCCAATAGTTCCCACGACAGTCGGGTCTTTATACCGGAACGATTGTTATCCGGCCAAGGACTGTCACTCCCGCAAACCATTTCGGGGAATAATTTTCGGTTACAACAAGAACAACAACTCTTCTTTTCCAGACTGAGCTAAGGGCAATATAAGAAGCTGTGACATTTACCTTGAACTTTCGGAGAGATTTCCCGAATTTCTTGACGAGCGATGTGGAGTGCAAATCCTTGGCCAAATAAAAATCGCAGTCGTTACAGTATAAAGTTCCACTGTCATATAAACTATTTAATTTTTGGTAACTCTACAATGGGAGTCCCTAAGAACTCGCTTTATAGACTACAGATCCATTTATGTTCAAACTGCACCGAACAAACCTCAACGAACACGAAGTCAGCCGTAATTACAGTTACCTGTATATCTCGCCCACCGTTGTTCGACAACTCCTTTCAAGGAACTAAGACGCTGAGCTTCAAGAAAGTTCCACACAGCAATTTGACCTATGAACTTATTAGACGTATGTATATACACGTACGGATAATGAGCTTATCTCAATATCTTCTGTCGCCAAACAACACTTTTCTAGGCTCTACCATGGAGTCATGTAGGTCGCCGAAGGCTTTTCTCTTAGATTAGTTAAAGAGGTTACATATGGCCTGGCACCGTGGCCCAAGAAAGTCGGCAATTCTCCTGAGCTTTAATGGGGTTCTACGCCAAAATATGACATATGCGCTTACCCGACTAGCTTCTTCTCTAAATGATCTAATTTCTTTTCCAACCTTAGACCTTTTTTTACAAAGCAGTCAGTGGTGCTGACATCCTGAAGGAGTAAGGATGTATTAAAAAGTTGAGAGAATGGACTTGTTTCGTCGCTTTGATGGACGGATATACTTCTCACCGGTGAAAGAGAGGAAGCAGATGAAAGATCAATAGGCATATAAACGATTGGTAGCCCCATATCTTAAAAGTCATTCCATTAAAGGGCGGTCTCTCTCTCCCTATATATATGTCTCTCTCCATATATATGTCTCTCTCCATTTGTTCCTCTCTCTATCCTTTTCTGTCTCTCTCTTTATATCTTTCTCTCTATATATCTGCCTCTCTCTATCTGTCTCTCTCTTTATATCTTTCTGTCTATTTATCTGCCTCTCTCTATCTGTCTCTCTTTCTCTACCTATTTCTATCCATCTCTCTCTCTATTTCTCTTAGAAAAAATTGAGTTATATTATATTATCGACAATGATTCAATGGCTTCCTCAAACTGCCCTCCCTTTTTTATATGTTGGTAATGCCTGAGTTCGCTCCTTTTTACTCAGTGCTCTTCTTCTATCCTCTCTGTCTCTCTCGCATGTTTTATATCTGTCACTGTCTCTCCCGCGCTCCTTTACTCTTCCGCTATTCTGACTATCTTCTACAAAACCAAAAATCTCATACTCGTTTCGAACGCTCCTCTCTTCAAACATCCTTTCATCAACTCAGTGGCATGCGCTCTCTCCCGAAACATGTTTACAAGTCAAACAACAAATCATGAAATAATTTCACACAAAACTTTTACTTGTTGGCATTTTAACAAATTTGTACAACAAAGTATGGAGAAAAGAACAAAACATGTGCATACACGTACATAAAGCAAACTGAAAAATGAATTAAAAGGAAGATCCAACAAAAAGTCTGAAAAACTACAAAAAGAAACTCATAAGTTTTCCTGGCGTGCAATATGACATAGCTGAATGTATGTATGTATGTATGTAAATTTAAATGTCAAAAGTTGCACAAAACAGTTGAGTACTCGTATAAATGAAGCTGACAAAGAGAGAGAGCAAAAAAAAAAAAAAAACTTTAGTACACAACTAAAGTGAGGCAATAAACTTTGTTTAATGCAAATTAAATTGCACAATGCAAAACTATGCGAAATGTTTGTTTGTATGCTATGGTGAAAGTGTGTGTGTGTGTGTGTGTGTGTGAGTCTGAGTGCGAAAGAAAGTTGCTCACATTCTTTTTTCCTTCTTAAATGAAACAAGCTGTGCAAGAATTTGCAACAAAATTAAACTATAATTTAATCAAAGCTCAGGCTGAGGTTGATAATTTGGGAGATTGCTTCGCGTAGAAGCGGAAAGCGTGGGTTTGAGTACACTTCCAGTAGGCTTGATGGCATGAAAAGCACATGAGTTTGAGTTGAGGTCGCAAGAGTAAATGAATTGCATGTCTTATGCGCCGTCTGGGGCACTTAAGAGTGGCGAATGAAATTCCAGTAGTTTTTTAACTACTCCCTAGAGCCTTAATATACATTTTGCATATTTTTGAGAGCATCTTTAGCACCAGAAACCTGCCTGTTTAATAACTAATAATATTACTGTAGCCTTTTTAATCCTTCAAGCTGCTATAGGGGACGGCCAAAGCATTTCACAAACCCTTTTTGAGTTACTTAAGCAACTAAAGGTACTGCTCAGTTATTCTAGAAACCGTCTGCGAATTGCAAATCAACTCAAAGCTGACGAATGAAATGCCCTGCAACGCGCTCTCACCAACGAGTAACGTACTAACATGCTGCTCACATATTCTCTCTTCTTCCCATCGCAAATTCAAGCTCATAACGTACAAATGTATGTATTTCTTAAATCCACTAACGGTATTTCAAAACTTTGCCATGCTAAATCTTCGGCAAAAAATAAAAATAAAAATAAAAACAGAAATAACAGTGTTGTTCATAACTATAAAAAAATATTTGCTCTACTCAGCTCGTGTCAATAAAGTTTTGAGCTTGTTATCTATGTGTATACAATGTATAGGCGCACATAAACTTTTGCACTCGCAAAAAAATCGTAAAACTCAAATATGCTGTACAAATAATAATATTTAACAAAATGCTGGTTCGCCTGCATTGCAGCGGGGGGGCTGCGGTGGTGTTGGTGGATTTGTAACAGCGAGACTTGCACTGGAGAGACAAGCATTCACTGGCTATTCTAGCGCGCAAACTGCCTTGTTCTGTTGGGCTTTCGTTGCTCTGGGGTTTTGTGTGCTGCTGGAGCTGCTCACCTGATTTTTTTTTCTATTTATTTCATTTATATGCGCCACATCTTCTACACTCCTTTTTTCTGCGCTCGTTTTGTAGAGTTTTCCTGTTTTTTTTTTTTTTTTTTTTTTTTTTTTTTTTTTTTTTTGGCCAGCCAATCTCTTCTCTATACAGATTCCTTTTCTGTGTCGTGTCCGCTTTTACGCTGCTTGCCATGCCACCATCCAGCCTAAGCGCCTGTCGATTGCTAGTTTACTATTGCCGCAATGCCAACTCGGTTCTTTTTATCAGCTTGCGAGGGGTGGCAGCGGCGGTAAGCTGTGCCATTTCTGCTGCACAGTATCTCCCGAAAATGGGTTGCTTTGCTAACAACTGCTCTACTATTTTTATTTTTTTGTTTTATTTTGTGGAGCTTTTTGCCTGCTTGCGGTTTGAGTTGCACTCCTTTTTTGTTGCACACAACATCCATTCTGCCACGTAGGATTTTTTCTTTTTATTTGTTTTATATTCGACTCTACGAAAGTTGCTTTTCGACTCTATTGAAAACTTTAGATACCATTATCCTATTCACATCCTGTCGGTTGTTAGCTCATGCACGCTCATGTTGGCTACTGAGGTCCTGTGTTCATAAGCCAGCTGCTTCTATTTGCCTGGGTATATAATGTTTATTCATTGAAAAATGTGTGCGAGTTTATTTGAATGAATGGTTGCTATTTGCACCGAACGCCAGCGCAAGTTGCGTTTTTAAGGAGAGAATCTAGGTGGAAGAGCGCGGAAGTGAGGTAGTCCGGGCTTTGTACAAACGTAGCGCTGCAATGAAAGAGAAGGTTATTGGATTTAAAGTGAAAGTAAAAAATATTTAAGTTTTCGAAAACAGTTTAAAACTTACCAAATTGTAGACAATGAAGAGGGGGTTCATTTCGCCAACTTGCAGCTCGCTTGGGCTAACGTAATTATTTCGAGCAGCTGCCAGTAGAGAATAAGAGTGGGAAATATAATAAAAAAAAATTAGTTTCAAATAAATTTTGTTTGGCAGGCGATCCATAAGCGATAAAATTGCAGCCGATTGAATTTGGCCGTCTCCTGCACTCGCCAACCACCCAACTCGCCGCTTATGTCTGGCCGCATGAAAGTGTGCAAATCAATTTATTGCGCCTCAAAGTTTTTTTTTTTTTTTTTTTTTGGCCAAAAAAAGAAATGCTCGAGAGCAGCTTCTTTCCGCTTCTCCATACATATATTTCTTTAAATGCTTATTCCACTTCTGAAGTCCTTGTTGCAAGTAGAAATGTAGTTTGTGCAAGTTCTGCAACTGCACAAACTTTGTCCGCCAACGAGCCAGCAATCGAGTCAAGCAGCTGTATTATATGTACTCGAGA